CAGTCGCCAATAACACATGTTGAAGAAGCAATCACGTAGGCCTCAGTGTGACAATACATAAGTCATAAGTAAAGAGAACGATATAGAGATACATCTGGAAGGAGTAAAGAGCACACATAATTCTTAATCATGGGCACGAATTGCGTAAACAACACAAGATCACAATCATCGTGGATTTAGAAAGAAATAAACAAGATTACAGTTGAGTATATACTTTTTTCCTATGAGGGCTTGATATGTGATCAAATCGAAGCACACACCCGAGGCATCAATCTTAAAATCGTAATTTCTTATGGGCTGTTAGACTAGCTAATCAAGCAAGAATGGTCAAGAATTACAGGAATTAGACAGAACATGCGATTAGCTTGACACCTGATTCGATAGGAATTTACAGAAGGACACACCAAGGGCCCATAAATAAACGGTCTATATGGACAGTGAAGACAAAACAAAAAGAAAGTGAGCAAGAATAGGTTAATAATAACAATATATAACCTTACTTGTTACACCGCTTCTCGTCGGCGCTTGCGGGAGCGTGTTTGTGTATCCTTATGGTATGCCACGATGTCATTAGCATCGTCAAGCGCCTCTGCCATTTCCCAGGTAGGATCCCCTTTGCGCCATCGTACGAGATACTCCGTCTTGCCCGTGTCATCATTAACCCGATGTTCAATGATATGTCGAAAACGTTGAACCGTCATCGCACCACAGACTCTCGTCAAGCGGGGGATCGGTACTACGGTATACCAAACGGATCAGTTCAACCCTATCCGGACGACCCTTGAATTCGGAGTCGAACCATCCCTATGAGACAGATCGTGCCCTTGTCAATTCCAGCCTTTCACGACATAGGGGGCGCATTGCCTTGGATGTGCCGCCTTCCGATTTGACCATCACCACGTCGCCTTCCTCAAAGTGCACTAAACCATCTGCATGGAGGCGGTCGAAATTATTCGTCAAAGTATCTGTGTAACGCATCGTCAATCTATGTAGCGTTGTTAAGATATTATCCTGGAGGCGATCGAGTCGTTGAGCCCACGTCTCATTCGTAACTGGCTGATTCTCTGGGATATTGTCGGTAAAATCCGCGAAGGGACATGGCGGCGTCCAAAATATACGCTGAAAGGAGCACTTTTGTGTCGGCGAGACACGCGAAGGTTTTGGTGAAGCATCGTAAATGGCAGTCGCTCATTCCAAGCTTGGGGCGTAGTCTCACAGCAGATCTGATTTGATCGGAAAATCTCCTTGTGTCGGTGTTCCGTGGCCCCTAGTACTTGGGGTCGGTATGGTGGTGAGATTTCGTGCATCATCCCAACCTCCCGAACAATGAGCGCCACTACACTATAAACAAATTCAGTACCCATATCGTACTGCATCTTCCGGGGGAACCCGTGTTCTCCAAAAATTGCAATCAACGTCTGCGCTGTGGTTTCCTTTGATATGTCAGGTGTGGCGCGTAGGATCGAATACCCGGATGCGATGTCTAGAACATGGAGAACGTACTTGTTCTTCCGACTGCAGACAATAGGCATTGGGATGTAATTTACTTGAATGTGGTCCCACGGATAACTAGCGTCTATACTGACCAACAGTTGAACCCCCTTCTTCAGTGTGACCTGACCCAAGCACGCACTGCACTGTCGCTTAGCTTCAGTTGCTAACTCCAGTGCCCCCGGTCATACGTGGCCATTCTGTTGGAGTTGTGTCACTGTGTCCGTCGCGTCATGGTGTCCTTGCTCGTGTTGGGCTTGGGTCAGTTGTGTGCGTCGTTGTTATTCTTCCGGTCACGCATTGACAAACGCTGACTGAGCCTCCGCACTGGTTACCGCTATTGAGATATCTCGTGCCGTGTCCAGAGAACGAGGTCGTGGTAAATACCGGGGCTCGGCAAATCCTAACCGATTTTGAAAGGATTCGTACGACGCGCCATCGGACTTGATCTACCGAAACATCTTGTGTACAAGTTTCCAGGGCGGATTCATCCATCCGTTAATCAACGCCCAATTATGCCGAAAGGCACCTCCCTGCTCGCCATATGTCCAGAATCGAGGTAGTTGCACATCCCCCGGTGTTGCAAACACGTCTATTGATCACAGTAAACCAGAACTATTTACCAAGCATAAAACTACGGTCAAACACCGGAGGCTCAACAAGGTTTATTCCAGCATCAACCAAGGAGAGAATCTAAACTCAGAGAGTGACACAGAAATATTACCGATGTAAATTAATCTCGGAGCCGAAGTGCCGGGAGTACGGAATCATCATTATAGAAAATCTCTGATGGGCATAAGGGCATCCCTAAATATCAGAAGAGTACAATCTAAACGTATAAGGCCAAAGATTACAATGGAAGCCACGATCAGTTGAAGACGTGGCGACGCCGCCTTTGGATTGGATCATATATTAAGTGAGAACCTTTTTCACCTTAAGAGGTGTTTTTCAATGGCTCAAGGATTACGAGTCCAATGTATATAAAAGCAGGGACTCGAATCAAATAAATGAGAACTATTCACTTAAAACTTAAAACACTTTAAGATACTTTAATATCTGAGAACAATAACTTATTAGGTCCGTTTTACCTCTACTCTGAGAATGACAAGCTTCGATTTGAAACCAAAAATTAAACTAATGATTTTGGATAAGCCGATCCAGTGGGACCAATGGAAAGCTCAATTGGATATGATCCTGATGAAACAGGGTCGCCTACAACTGATCGAAGCCGCTACACCACCCGACGACTACTATGAGACTCAACGTGAAACATTTACTCAAGAGGATCGTGGAGCCGCGTCTGAGCCAATTTATCGTACGATCTCTCGACGACTTCAACAGGGTTTACTCCATATCATGAAGGAACCCTACGCGTTCTTCAAAGCATTGGAAACCAAGTTTAAGATTAACACCCAGGGAGGAATCGGCCGTTTGAGAAAGGAGCTCTGGGCAAAAACACAGAAGAGTAACGAAACTCTGGAGGCCTTTATTGGTGATATTAATTTGAAGAAAATGGAATTGGAGAAACGCGAGGCTCCACCGTCTTGTAGACCGTCTTGAAGGAAGGTCTCAATGAACGTTTTAAAGCAGCAAGAACTCATCTCAACACAGTTGATACTGACGTCATGAGTTACGAGGAGCTCTGCGAATATCTCCGAAAATTTGATATGGAGGAAATCCAAACATCGGCCTCCAATACAGAGAATCGAGGAGGAGAGAGAGCACTTTCGGCCACAGCAGAACGAAAGTGCTTTAATTGTAGCAAACCAGGTCACCTTGCTCGTGATTGCCGATCCAAGCATCGCAGATCCAGACCGCGCGTCTACTCTGACCGCAGGGAATATCGCAAACCTTATTTAAACCGATACCCCAACTATCGTGCACAATAACGTCCACGTCATTGGGGGCGAATATCTTCTGTGCTTGCGTAAAGTAATTCGGAAACAGCTGCCAGCAGTCGGCGTAGAATACTTCCGGTGCGCCACCTTCCGCTGTCCCTTCGCGGACAGTACATTCCCCCCCCTCCTGGTATATGCGATATAGTGAAATTAAACGGGGCTATTATGTCGTGCCACTGCTGGAGCATGGGGTTCAACTTCAACTGCGTGTTCATGTAAACTAACGCCTTGTGGTCCGTGAAAGCCGCAAAACGCTGTCCGTCGAGGAATCCCCGAAAGTGGGTTAGCCTATAGACCAGCGCCAAAAGTTCCTTTATTGGCGTCGTATAGTTCTGTTGTGCCTGGTTGAGCGACTGAAAAACATGAAATAGTGCTTCTTCTCATCGACCCACTGGAACAGCACTCCCCCGATGTCATAGTCAATAGCATCCGTCTCCAGATTAAGAGGTATATCCTCCACGGGAAAGTGTAAGGCTACCGCATTGTCAATCGCCGTCTTCTTAGCCGTCCACGCCTCCGCGTGGCGGGATTCCCAACGTGATCCAATCAACTCGTTTGGTTTCAACTTGCAGAATTCTCGGAGTGGCGCCACTATGTGCTCAAAATTGGGAAGATGTTCGTGTAAAAAGCTCGCCAACCCTAACGCCGATGCTATCCTTGTAGCGCTGCGGTGTCGGCCAATCCAACAGCTTCGCCTGTTTCTCAAAATCGATATCAATACCCGCTGCCGATACCTTCTTTCCTAGGATCATAACCTCCCCGATTGCAAAGTGGCATTTATCCGGATTCAACTTGAAGCTGTGATTTGTGAGTCGGCGTATCCCCTCCTTAACCGTAGCTATATGTTCTTCGTAGTCATCTCCTGTTATCACTATATCGTCAATATAATGCTGCACGGGAAGGCGTCCAATATTGTACTCAAGGTTCGTTGGAACTGTTGGGCGAAGACGTGTAATTCAAATGGCGCCGACGTAAATGAATACTGGTGGCGTCCATATGTGAAACTGAACAGGTAATGCGAATCTGGGTGAATCGGTAGACGATGATATGCCGCCGAGATGATGTCTAATGTTGTGCAATATCTCTTGCTCTGTACCTGTTCTTCTACATATGGTATTCACCGGTCTGACACGAAGTTCCTCATTGATCGCCGCATATTCATCGCCTGTTCTCGAGAAACCGGTATGGCTACCTCACTCCCTTCCAACCGGCAGTGTGTACTATCAGTAATCGCCGCGTTCACCTCCAGGACTGATTTCAGTTCCGTGCGTATGCCTTCAGGCTGGGTTAGATCCGGAGCTTGTCGCCGAGGAGCCAATGGTGATTGTAGGCCACCTAAGTATAGTCCCAATCCAGGAATGATGTCCACCCCTTTGATCTCGTCGATTCCTACTGGCAGATTCATCAATTCTAACGAACCTTTCGTTATGGACGTTCTATATCTAATTGGTATAACCTCCGTCGTCCCCAGTCGCCGAGTGCGCGCCGCCAGGTATATATATGAATCAGGACGAGCCGGGAAAATTGGTAGGCCTAGTGCCTCTGCGGATGCCTGCGATATACAGCTTATGTTTGCGCCCGAATCTACTAGGGCTCGGAACATGCGACCGTTCAACTGATATTGGACACGGTTGTCCTGTGTCGCTGCCTTATAATTGTGACAGCGAGGGATATGCCGTAATCCTGGTGGCGCCTGTGCCTGGCACCCGCCACATGTCGTAGTTGGGCTCGACGTTGGTGTACGTTGTTACCATGGTTGGTGGCTGTCTGTGTCGCACGCTGCAACTGTGTGTCCCCCCGTTGGTGATCGTTGTTGTGGGGTCGACGGTTTGACATCCGCGCAGTGGCTCTCGTCTGTGCCTCCTGAATGTCTGGGCTAAGAAGCTGCAACAATTCGTCGGTCTCCATCAAGTGCCAGTTGGTGTGTAGTTGTAGTGTCCGTTTATAGGTTCGGGAGCCAAGAGAATCTTCCAATAACGACTTTGCTTGAACTCTGCATCTGCCTGGCTGCGTTTATGGGCACGTCTGTGATTCTCCATGAGCTGTTTCATCTGTTCCATAATTGGTATGTTGGAAACCCGAGAGTGTCCTTTCGCCAACTTACGGAACGTAAGGTCGACTGTGGCATGAGTTTCGTGAGAACAAATCTGTGTTATTTGTATCCCCGGTGTTAAATATACTAACCGCTGGTGGTTGGACATAATGTAATCCAAGGTGGACTGCTCAGCCTTGAAATGGCTACGAACCCTATAAAATTACCCCGAGATCTGCGCGTTCTTCAACGCCTCCAAAAGGGCTTCCTTAGTGTCTCGCTCCAAGGCATTGTGTAGTTGGTATCTATTCGACGGTCATTATGGCCAGCTTCTCGGTTCCCAAAGCTCATGCTAGGTTACCGGGCGAGATTCATGTGTAGCTTGTAAAGTTTTCTAGTACCCCCCCGTAGGGCTTCGGCCCGTGGTAAATCATCCGCCTCGACTGCTCTACACAACTCCTCGGATAGTCTAAGCATCCGCGCGTGAAGTACTTGGCGGTCCGCCACAATACTTTCCAGTGTTGGACGAGACTCCTTGTCATTAACCGGCATTGGGTTCACTGGTGTCGTTGGAGTTGTTAGCGATGATTGCCGCAGCAACGATTCTCGCAATTGCGTCCGCCTCGAATCGTTGATTCTGCTGCTGCGAATAGATCACTCCGGACAATCTCTCACGTCGGTTATCTAGTGCCTCAGGACCATGAGGATCCTGCGCCGCTCGTTATGTAACACTACTCCGTGTACTCATACTATCAATACATACACGTTTACATTGGTACCCACTCTCATACTTAATTCTGCCTATATCTTAACGTAACGTGTCACTTCTCCTCCATGTCCATAGAGACGTACCTTGTTCGGTATATAATCCCCATGTTGATTGCTCATCATTCTTTCCTTCGTCATGTTCATGTCCGCGTATAGCCGTTATTCCAGATTCACTTGCTGCTCGTCTTAATGGTGTTAGTGGTTCGTCTTGACGCCGGATAAGCTTATTTACATATTCATATATCCTTTCTCTTCTAATGATATTGTGCATATACCATCTTCCCAATCTCTGTTGTCCCATGTTCATTGGTCGGTGTATTTCATTACGTGATTCCCGTTTTTGGATTACTTCTTTATTCGTGTGGTCCTCATCTTCTTCACCATCTTCAGGCTCGCTCTCCGAGTTTGACAACAAAGATGGCAAGCTCGGCTCACTACTGTCAAACCCGCTATCCTCACTCTTCAGTTGTTGGTCTGCTTCGAAAGGCCCTGTTGATATATTTTCGCTTCTCATGCGACCCATTGGTGGGTTCACCCATCGTCTCAATGTTGATTCTCGAATCTTAGCGAAAAAAATGTAAGACATTCTTCAGTCTTCCTTATACTATGACGGTTCTAACTTTACTTCCAATAAAGTGCAACTAGTAAGCTTGTTAAAAATGCAGTCAAATACGCAAAGATAACAGTTTCTCAACGTACTCCCCTCATACACGGGGATACGTTGTACTTTTATTGAATAATAAATCAACCATTGTTTCTATTATTTGACATGTGTACAAATTTGATCATAAACCCTAAACTGGGTTTATGTCGTTTCTCAAAATAAACCTCAAATTACCTAATAAACCTTATTGAGTATATCTGACCACACCACGCACAGTGAGCCTCAGAACGCCACCACCTATACAACCAAACGTCACAATCCAGAAAATGGCACACCAATACAACCCAAACTAATAGGACAACCCCAAGAGAAGAAAGGGGCGACATTGTGTGGTGTCACCAGCCCCACATCGATTTAGTCAATGTCCTATGAAGGCATCAGATCAGAACAAGAAGGTGAAGGAGCGTGTCCAGAACGATGTGCAAGTAGCTAGACTATCCAATACCTCCGGGAAGATAGAAGAGATAACAGATAGCGATGAGTCCTGAAACAAGTGGTGGGCGGAAACAAACATGATTGACCTGGGTGTCAGGCCAGACGTTTTGCCAGCCTTTATCCTCACTTCCCGCACCACGAGAGCAAAGACTACACATTGACATACGAATCAATGGCAACACATACAACGCCCTAGTAGACCGAGGTTCACAACGATTATGTATGGACAAGAGCATAGTAACTGAACTATATATCTCAGTCAGACAGCAACCGAGCTACATACAACTAGCATAAACAGACGCGAGGATTAAAAAACCCTATTATCCACCCCAAGTATGTAACATTAATTATGAAGGAAGAAAAGCTGTCAGTGTTTTGAAGTGTTGGATCTACCAGACAAGAAGGCACCAATACATCTAGGTATGGACATCCTTCCATACATAGGTATATACATTGCAGGATTAGTAAATCCACTTAAATCAATAGATGCAAAATGGGAATCACTACTCACTCCACATGAGGAAGACCCAGAGCATGAACAAGAAGGTTTCTGAGAGTTGCAGACCTCTTAGATACCAACGCGAACGTATCTCTTGACGTACATCGCAACCTACCAGGCTCTACAGTCACAGTGTCCCCAGATGAAATTAATGTCAGATACATGAGGCACACCAAAGTCAACTTTGTACCGCACTAGTATATCCCGAAAACGGATGAAAATGCGAAGAGGTGGTGTAGAGTTTGAGAATAGCTTATAAGATACGACGAGAAGAAACGATAGACCTCTTCTCAAGTGCGAATCCTACAGGCTAGGTAAAGTCCTAGGCTGAAGGACCCGCATTGAGTCTTTATTTGTGTTTAGTATTTTCTACACTAGATTCAATATTTGCTTAAGTGTTTCTCTCACACGCGGGAGTCCCGGTATCATCTACCGGTAATCCCGCTATATTTCTGATCACTCTATCATCAGAAATAATGGATCATAGATCCAAAACTCAGTATTTGATGATCCTGGGTTTTGGGTTTAGGATTGGCTTTTCTGATATTCTGGCCCCTGGATGCTACATCTCCTCAATTTTATGCTTCTCAGCCTGCGTAGGAGTAAAAAGTGACATCTTATAGGACTAGATTATCTAGAGGTTGGTGTTTTTGTACAAGGAAAAACTTGTCCCTTAGGGGGCATAAGATGAAAAACCTGCCGCTATTAACCATTCTAACATATTACTGAGTAAATTAATTTATACTAAATAACAGGAGTACTCTATCACGCTCATCGGAGTCAGTCTTGGCCTGTGCTCTCGGTTGATCTCAACTTGGCTTAGGAAAACGCATCTCAACGGTGGCTCTCAACCGAGTCTTTGGTCCTTATCCCTCTGGTGTGTGGGCAGAGCATGCTTCAAGGTGAGAAAAGTGGGAGAGTTCTTTGGTGTCAGTGAAAGTTGGGTAAGTTCCCCGCCTCGTGCACTGCCAGTTGCTCGCTGATCGTTCATCAGTGCTGGTTGCTGTTGACTTCTTCGACCTTGATGGCCTTCGCTTGCGTCGTTTACGCTGTCGGTATATCGTAAGAATATCTGGATCTGCGATGTCTGATTCATGTGTCCATGTGCGCTCCCCATCTATCCATTGTAGTAGTTAATCCTGGGTTCCTCCACCTCTTGTGGATTCTCTGTGGTCTAGTATAGAGGTGAATTGAGTTACTTCTGATGGTTGGACTTGATTGTTGGTAGTAAATTCCTCGGATTCGCTAGCCTTCTTGACTAAACCAATTAACTCATCATTGACTGAGTTGGGATATTCGGGGGCACGAGTTCCATCAAGGTTACGGACGAAATATCCGTTGCCCTCTTTGCTTGCTGTCTTGTATGGTCCTCCATTTTTTGCAGTCATTTTATTCATTTCACCTAGGAAGCGAACCATCACTTATCCCCTTCTTGGAAGTGTACATACTTCTCTTGGTATTTGCGATCAAATGCTGAACGTATTTTCTCTTGATATTGTGTTACATTGGCGTCTAGTTGTGGTCGTATTGACTCCTCTAGATGCTGTAGTCGTGTTTCCCATGGTATTGTTGTACCTGGTGCACTGACTGTTGTGTCATAGTTGGTGAGTTGATTTTGTCGTCGCCCATAGTAGACATTGAACCTTGGTGATTTGTGTCTGCGTGATGAACGGAGGTTATGGCCCATTTGGACAAATGGGAGGCGTGAGCACCAGTTGCCTGGATTTTGTTCAACAAATTTCCGTAGTAAAGGAATGGGGTCTCTGTGTGAGCGTTCATTTGCTCCCATTACCTTGGGTTGATACGGTCTGGACACTAAGTGTTGTAACGGTGCCTGCTCAATGATTTTGAGAGTATGTCATTCACGTATTCTGTGCCCTGATCCGTCTGTATGACTGGTGGATATCCATCTTCACGCATGATTGGAACTAGTGTTCGTGCAACAGTGGCTGCCGATTTGTCCATCATCGGTCTTAGTATGGCATATGAAGAATGTACATCAAGCCATACCAGAACGTATGTGTTGCCCCTATTCCAGTCTATCAAGGGACCGATGGTGTCCACTTGTATCCTGTCGCCCGGGAATGCGGCCGTTATTGATTGTAAAGGGTGGAATCCCTTTTTGTGAATTTAGTTTTTGAGACAGAGCACACAGCCCTCAATATATTGGTTGACATGTTCCTTTTGTCTAGACCATGTGTGGCCATCTAGTGTGAGCTTGTTTACTGTTTCATCGACAGTTTAGTGACCTACTGTGCGGTGTTGAGCTATGAGCGTGGCTCAGTCTTCATACTTGATTGTGTCTAGCTCGGCGGAATTGTCCGTGATGTGTATGGACGCAGTGTTCACTGCAGGGTGTGTTAGTTTTTGGTCAAAGTATGGTGACTTTGTGCCGATCTTGGATACTAATGTGACTCTGCCCTGTCTGCCCCGGTAGCCACAAGTTCACTACCAGCCACTTTACCTGCATCCAACAACTGATTCGACACATCCTGGTAGGCCCGAAACTGCCGCCCATTGGTCCTGACCTCCTTCAGCAATTACAGGAGTGCCATGACTTCCACGGTATCTGGACCCTCCACGAACACCTTGGATCTTTTCTCCAGCATGTTGAAGAACCACCGTACCCTCACCCGTCCCTGACACATTAACAGATGTTCCCCATACCCCGGCTAATCACGCTGTTAAAGTACTACTTCCAAATATCGGTTCAACCCAAATCATCGCGCTTGTTGGTTCCGACTATGATACTTCCGATCCAGACCAGCCAACACATACCGAATTCATCTGTGGTCTGGTGCGGCATTGGCTTACCCCCATCCTCGCTTTTCGACCGGATTATGACGGATAACCTGGTCCTTCTCGGTATTTCGTACTCTGCACTAACCCATTCCGCGGCACTACACGGCGCAGACCCGATCCGTACCACTAGTAGGTCAGCAAGCAAATATATGGAACATTCGATAGTAACAGTGTTTTGTCAACACCGGCTTGAATTGACTCAGCACATATCTTCCATTGTCGACTCACTTGGCCCAAGCTTCAAACGGGAATTTACTGACCACTTCTTCCCATCAATCTTTCCTGAACCACTACAGCGACTATGAGAGCCATACCATATGTTCATACATTGTATCATACATACTTGCCATTTTTGAAATAAATAATATTTTCCCTAATGTGACCCCCCATGGTATTTTGCCACGGGCTGTTGTGCCGTTCTCTAGGAGCGTGTTGTTTTTGTGTTTTCGACTATCATCGGATCTTGTTCAAGTAATGACATCAATTTGGGGAACCACGTTGCGTTTGGGTAGTACGGGACGCATATTGTAATGCTTGTGGCTTCCTCTATGACTTTGTCTAACACGTCTGGTATTAGTTCCCAGGGAGGATTCGCCCATGCATTTATTTCATCTCCCCACTTTTGTAGGAGCGCGTTTTGTTCTTTGGTGTAGAACTTTACGGTCTGAGCATTGTGTGTGGCTGCAAATAAATCGATGGTGAATTTACCGAACAGGCCTTCTGCATCTTGAAAGCGCCGTGGATGTAGTTTCCTGTATATGGCAGACACTAGGATGGGTATGTTTGTTTCTAGGTCAGCGCATTCTTGACCATTGTGTATGTGCTCATTGGCTTCTTTCAACACATTCAATGTTTTGATGTAGAATGTGTCTTCGTGTAGTCGTGACAATATGTCAGCAACTTCATTATCTTTGCCTGACACGTGTATGATAGTGAAGTGGTGATGAAAAGTTTTCGCTATCCATTTCGCGAGCATAGGATGCAGCGTTTGCTGCTTGTTCATCTGGCATAACGCTTTGTGATCTGTCCACAATGGTATATCGCCACCTTTGATGTATTCTGAAAAATGTTCCAGACTGTATACGAGTGCTAACAACTCTTTAGTATTTGTCCCATATCTTGGTTGTGCAGGGTTGAGCCCGTTTGAGAAAAAGAGTATATCTCTTCTGACTCCATTTACAATTTGGAACAGACAACCTCCTATGCCATAGTCACTTGCATCGTTCATGATCTGAAATGGTACTCCATCTACTGCGTACGCCAAAGTTGCTGAGCATGCAATGGCATCTTTGAGTTCTTCCCATTTCTTAATGAGCTCTGGTGTCCAAAGATTGGCTATATTTTGATTCATTTTGCCTCTCATGAGATTGCGGAAGTGTTTCGTTATGTGTGCAAACTGAGGTATGTGGTCTCGTATGTAATTTGCTAGACCGACTGCTCGATGTAAGTCACGTTTGGTTCTTGGTAAAGGCCGGTCAATCATGCGTTTCTGTTTCTCAGAGTCTATTTTGAGCCCTTTGGTGGTTACTTTGACGCCTAGTATATTGACTGTCTTGACCGCAAACGCACACTTGTTGTGATTTAGCCTGAAGTTAGCAGCATTAAGTCTTTTGACGACTTCGCGTACTGTTTGTCTATGTTCTTCTTCTGTCATACCAGCGATGACTATGTCATCGACATATACTTGTACCCCTTTGATGTCAATGAGGAGGTTGGCCATCACTCTTTGGAATTGTGCTGCTACCGAGTGCAGTCCAAATGGAGCTGACTTGAGTGAGTATTGCGCTCCTCTCTATGAAAATGTGAAGAAGTGTTGGCTATTTTCATGTACTTCAAAGTGGTGGAAGCCTCCTGTTAAGTCTAATTTAGAAAAGAATTGCGCACCCTGTAGGTTGTGGAGTATTTCCTTTATCTTTGGTAAAACAAATTTGTCTTGTTCATGTTGATAATTTACTTCTCTCTAGTCTAAACATGTGCATACCTTCTTTAACAGACCTGTCTGTTCAAATTCTCCTGTGGATAGTAGTGGCAGGTTCACTTGTGTGGATGTTGTTCTTTTGTATATGTGTCCATCTTTGACCCATTTCTGAACATTTTCATCTGTTTGTGGGATGTATTTGTGTGGAACAAAGTTCACTTTAGCATGACGAATATTCTCGGCTTTGACCTCTTGACTTGGTATCTCTACCACTGAATCTGATAGATTGCAGTGTACATCTGGTGGTATCTGACCATTTTGTTCGAACAAGTCTGATAGTGGTTCTCTGAATCCTTTACACCTGTTCATGTTTAGGGTCTTCTTCATGTGGTGTAAGAAGTGATGCCCACTTGACATCTGTTGGTAATTGTAGGTTAATTATCCCTGCTAAGTATATGCCCAAGTATGGTAGAATGTCCATTCCTAATTGAATTGGTGATTTCATGTCTGGGAGGTCAAGTATCTCGAAGCAGTTTGAGGGTTTTCTGCCTCCCGTAGTTTATATCACATACTTCAGTGGAACCTGTGCGTTGTACTCTTGCATCTGATTGTGCGAGTATAGTTCAGTTGCTACACTTCTGTCCATACAAGAGTGTTGTGCTCCTGAATCTACTAGTGCATTATATGTGGTGCCATTAATTGTATGTCTATGCGCAATCTTTGGTCTCGTGGATTTATAAGTAAAGAAATGGGTGTGTAAGCAATATCATTCGCATTTATTAACAACGTTTCTTCATCAGTGTGTGCATTCACAATGTCTACCATGTTTATCATGTTAGCCTCCGACCACCAAGCTTTTCATAGATCTTCATCCATCTCTTGCACCTTGTTGCCATTTATATTGGCCAACAGGTCAACATGGACGGTTTGGTTCTGTTTCTCTGCTCGATCTGCCCTGAAACGGTTGTTTTCCGCTTTGTTGGGGTACTTGCTGAACGCATGTGGTGAAGGGTTTATACCACAGTGTGGGCACGGTCGTGGTCCTCGTGTTGCTGGGGTGTCAGTGGCCTGTCCTATGGGACGACCTCTGCCTTGTCCTCCTGGTGGACCTCCACCTCTTGGTGGGCCACCCCCTCTCGGTGGTCCCCCACCTCTGGGTGGATCCCCTGGAGGGATCTCCAGTCTTGGGCGATTGGCTCGCGGTTCAGGAACAGTTGCATTTCTCGCTCGCTTGTTTTCACGCTTGCGATGAGCTTGTAGTAATGTTGCCTGTCTGATCATGCCTTCTGTGAGCTCATGAAATACCTTACTACCGTCTGGTTTTGTCTGAGCCTTGATCAGTTTGTCTGCTTCCGCTTGCAAACCGTACATGACTAGTACTTAGGTAACGTGATGCTTTGAGGAGTTGCCAATTGATAGTCTCTCTCTCCGTGCCCTTGGAACGCTTCTCCAACTCAAACATTGTGCGACACAACCGTGCGGCCCGTACTTCTACATTCATACGAGTGTCATAAAAGTCGTCGAGTCACTTCTCTAGTAGATAGTCTACTGGAGTGCGACGTAGATTGTCAATGATTAATATGTTGTAGTCTTCCACATCAATGAAGTCTTGCCAAAGTTTTTGGGTACTACGTATATTGTTGAGTGCAGTGCGCGATACTTCCTTTGCGTCTGTCTGTCTGAGCAGCTCTTGTGCTAGTGAGAGGTACTGTATCAATGGCATGTTTGTGCTCGCAAACAAGTCTTTAGCTACAGATACAAACTCAATTGTATCACGACAATCAGCCATACTGACATATTTGCCTACTGGCCACTTAGGGATCTTGAGTAGTTTGTTCAGTTCTGGTTCTGAAGCTTTGTCCCCTTCGTGAGATCTAATTAACGTTTACTCGCTCATATAGCCACTAATCGCAATGCACTCATCGTGATCACTTTTGTCACAGTTCTTCATAGCTTTATTATATAGCTCTACTGACCACTCGTATATTACTGGAATCAATCGCTTGGGTTGTTGTTCGTGGACTGCTTTGCGTAGTTTGTGGAATGCTCTGATGTCCGCTGTTTGTGCATACAACTTGTCTACTAGTATATCTACAATGTAGAAGTTGCGCTCATAGATGTTCTTGTCTAAGACTATCTTGTTCTTACTCATAGATGGTCTTGTCTAAGACTATCTTGTACTTATTCATCACTGGATCCATGGGAGCTCTTGCTGGAGTAAACTCATCATCCATGTGCATGCTCCCTTCTCCATTGCGTGGAGTGGTGGTACGAGAAGATGTCTGTGAGACTGGCATTGTATTTGCCTTTTCTGGTTTTGTTTCGCTTTCTGGCAGTGTTACTTGTGCTCCCACGTGTGTGTACGACTTGAGCTCACTTGTGTGCGTAGGCTCCTACGTGCTGCGCGTGTTCGTTGGTATGGCGCAGACGTCATTGACTGTTCTGCGTGTGGAACGTGTGGGGTATGGTTAGGATGTATTTTTTGTGCATCAGTAACCATTGTTTTCTTTGTGCATTAGTACATTTGTAGAATCAGATCGGTTTTACTTGTATGTGCGTCCCGTGTGGTATGCGGTGACCGTACTGACTGCAGGGTATTGTGTCTGAGTCCCTTGAACTCAATCGGTTGTAAACCCAGTTTCTCTTGTAACTTGGTTTCTGGATTTGTAAACCTGTAATTTGGGTTTATGAGTTTTTCTGTTATATTTTGTTCTTATTTGAGGCTCGGTGGTGTTCCGAACTCCTCGTTATGTATGACTTGAATTTGTGCGAAAGAGATATGATTGTATCTGCATCCTATGTTTATATACAATTTTAGTCTTAATTGTACACATGTACTACAACTTGTATACGTTTATTACCTTTTGTATCCCCCCACGCTCTTTGTACATCTGTGTTTGTGATGATGGCTAATTCCGTATGGGTTGTTGGGTGTACTGTTGTCAATGTTTTGTGCTTGTATATACACTCATTCGATAGTGCGTGTTTGCTTATTTTTCTTGGTTATATATGTGCTTTATCATAAGTTGGTGGTGGTTATGATCGTTCGCACCTGTGTCATTTAGTCACTTGGCATTGTTTTGGCAGCTGTGCCGTGTATTTGTGTCACTTCCCATGTATTGAGGTTGTACTATGTGTGTCCTTAATTCCGTGCGTGACTGTCTCTTATCGAGATGTGCTGCGCTCCTTAATATATGTCTGTGTTGTTGAGAGACTACAGGTCTCAGGCCAGATTCTACAGCAAGAAACCATCTTTGATTTATTAAAGTCATCAGAATTAACTCACTCCCGAGAGCTAAGTCATCAGAGTTAGCTCACTCCCGAGAGCTAATCAAGTTGCTCAAAGTACTCTCAAGAGTTGAGTTATTACTTAACCAACTTCCGAGAGCAGATTTAGTTCTCAACCGATTCCCGAGAGTGGATTAAGCATGTCAACCACAACATATTAATAATAGCTGCGGTTCTATGTAAGTCACAACCTATGCGGAAAGGCATCATGTGATCAGCGTGAGATTTAGTTGCAGAGAAGTTGAAATAGAAAAGCATCGAAGTGTTAAAGTGTTCCGCATAAGATTTCTCATATTGACCATATGAGTTTTTACCCTGGCCAGCCCAAGCGGCTGAACACTAGCACAAACACCTTAGGTATAAAACCAAAGGTGAGGCCAGAAATAAATACATACATTTGCACTTTATTTAAAGTCTACTACATTGCACGCTAACAACTTATCAGGTCACTCTGATCTCGCGCTATCAATATGCCTACTGTGAACTCTAAGGATATTAAGACCACCACTATTCTTGAATCATTTAGATGTCAATACAGTAGCATCGGAATTACGTTGACGGATGTTAACTCTGTCACCAACCTGATAATCTGCTATCTTCTTGGTAGTGTTCCAACGCTTTTGTCTTTTTAATAAGGCTATATTGCGTATTTCTCGCAAGCAAGGATATACAACGTTATACATACGTTGGACCTTCTCTAACCATGGTAACTCATGGTGATCGGGTTCGTCCTTGTTAAAAGGGATTTGTAACTCACTATATCTGCCACGAAAATAGTGAGCGGGTGTAGTTCCTGTAACCGGATCAGCACACTCGTTCATCTGTGTTTGTACCCACTTAAGGTGGTACGGCCAATCATCTGCATCATCCGTTAATGCAGTACGCAAGAAGAACTTAAGTCTTCTATGGCGCGTCTCATTCGCGCCTTGCGTTTGCGGCTTATATGGCACACCTCTCTTATGGCATATGCCTGATACGAGTACTAGCGATTCCATAACGTCATCGCAGAACTCACTACCGTTATCAGTGCACATAATACCCGGCCACCCGTGGTCAGCAAAGACTTGGCAACATAATTCTGCCACGGTCTGCGTATTCTTATCTTTTAATGGATAGAGCAAGTTAAACCGTGACGCCACATCAAAGAAGTGGCATACGTAACGGTTGCCTGTGTGCTCGGACGTGGGCAGGTCAACCAGATCAATGATGTCCCTGCGCCATGGAACATCTTCAGTCACACTCTTAAGCGGTGCGAAACCATAGCGCTTGATCTGATTGAGATCACAGTCTGTGCATGACGGATATACTCTGTCAACTAAAGTTGCCAGCTTAGGGTGCGCGATCCCATTTCGCTTAGCATCTTTAAGTGCTTCTACTACGTTCTGGTGCTTCAGCTTATGATGTTGCTTCAGCCAAGCAAGAATGTTTTCATCATTCTGCTCTTCCAGAATAAAGGTAGAGTGTTGAGAATTCACTTGCGTGGTCTCTAAGTCTGTAGTGTTTTCAGACTCCTGTCCTGTTTTTGCATGAGCGTCACCTGACTTGTTAAATAGTCGCACTATATGTGTATACGCTTCAGGATTGTCTTTCATTAATCCCTTTAAAAATAAGGTTTGAAAGACCTCGGGCTTGGAATTTATGCTATTAAACAGAGTCCTAGCTAGAGACTGACGCTTCTTAACAGTGTCATTAGTAGATTGTATTTCTTGTGCACAGACGCTAAATGCTGTGTTGCCTTTGAACTGCTTAACGTTCAATTGGGTAGAGAGTGGAATCTCTGATTCTTTGACCTTGTAAAGGAAGGTTTCAGAAGGGGTCCATTTGGTTGTTCCAATGGGACCTATACGACATATAATAGTATGTCTCCAGGGCGTTTTCTGGATGGCTCGGGTACCCTGATATAGGATATCTACTTCCCTATCTAAATATATTGGCTCGCATTGAATCATGCTGATAAATTTATTGAGCCATGGATCTTTACTCCGTAATGGGCAACACAACGTGATGGTAGCTTTATGTATATGAACATAATTTAATAGCTGGGCAATTAACTGCCATGATGGATTAGCCCACGCATTATGTTGGGAAAGGTCTATTTGAAAGGCGTCTCCCATAGGATGATTTAAAGTCCTGTAATTCGATAGTTGTGCATTATGATGTGCAGCAAACATATCTATGGTATTTGGCCCATATATCTTTTGAGCCAGTTCAAACCACCTGGGATTACACTTCCAGTCAGTGGCTAGTAACTCACGTACGGATTTATTAAAGTCCGATACGAAGCGTGATAACATATCCGGTAAATGGTTATGTATACCTGGCAGATGTTTTATATCAAAATGAAACTTTGATATTGTATCATGCCAGCGACTCAGTAATTGCGAGTCGGGTTTCATCCCTTTCATATATTGAAGAGATTCCTGATCACACATCAGCGTAAATACTGTTCCGTATAAGTAATTTCGGAAGTGTGTTAGAGCTGTCACTATGGCTAATAGCTCTTGTTTAATAGTTGGATAATTCAACTGTGAAGCATTCATTGCTCGACTAAAGAATTGTATATATCTAGGTTTGTTATTTATAACCTGATATAATACTCCTCCTAAGGCTAAGTTTGATGCGTCCGTTGCTATTTCAAACGGCACGCCATCGACTGGCCCTTGTACAACTGGGGCTTGTTGGACTGCGTGTTTGTGCGCTTTAAATGCGTCATCACACTCTTTAGTCCACAAGTCTTCTAGTTTGCCTTTATGACATCTTAAGTGTCCAAAAGGTTTAAGGTAGTCAGCTAAGTGTGGTACTCCATCTGAAAAGAAGTTTACAAACCCACACATGCTGTTAACATCTCTTCCTGTAGTTGGTGTTCGCCAATCTAACAGGTGTTCTACCTTACCGGGGTCGATCTAATACCTTCCCCAGATACATGGTAGCCTAAGAGCTGCACTTCGCTCATTGCGAAGTGGCATTTCTTTTCGTTAATCTTGAAGTTTTGCTCATTGAGTCTCTTAAGGACTCGTCTGACTAATGCGGCGTGTTCGCCTGTAGTCTTCGAAAAGATGACTATGTCATCTATATAAACTTGC